GGGCCCCCCCCCCCCCCCCCGGCAGCTTTGTAAATAAGCCCGAGGAATGTTTATTAGGCTTTGTGAACCTCCTCCAGGGACCTCCTTGGCTCCACCGAGCTTACGAGCTTACGTTCATTCCCCAAACCCCAACATAAAGGCCAACACTCGGCCTGCTGGGGAGACTTGGAGACTTGGTCCCAGCTGAGAAGTGGTGGGATGCAGGGTGGTTCTGGGCCTGAGGCTCCAAGCCCAGGTTTGGAGCAGCAGAGACTGAAACCTCCCTGGTACCCCAGGGCCTGGCTCTAAACTTTCCTCTGGAAGAGACATTCGCATGCAGCCTTGCTGGGGCTCATTTCTCCCCGTTCTGCCAAGAAGCACATCAGGAACTTGCTGAGGCCCCCTCTGATTAGATTGTCTCTGTTGGTCCCATGAGAGGATTTAAGGATTATCTTAATGATAAACCAGCAGCAGCCATCCCGGGAAGGGCATGTCTCTGACAGGGCAGCTGAGGCCCTGGCTCTTCCGTCAAGAGGTGATGAAGGGGGAAGTAGAAACTCACCTCTTCCAGGAAAAGTACGGGGAGCCCAAGCGTCCCCAGGGGCCACCTGCAAACCAAATCATTGGAGGAAAAGCAGTTTTCACTTTTTCTTCCTTTCTCCCCTGACTAACAATTATTCTTGAAATAATAGCCCCAGATCTCCTCTTGGCTTTGATGAGTCCAGAGCACAGTGTGGGTCCCTGAGGGTCCAAGGCTGCTGAGCAGAGAGGCCCATGCACAGCCAGGATAACCTGCTTTTCTGGGCGTTTGCAGGCGGTTTAACCTCAACCACGTGGCTCAGACATGGTACCTGGTGAAGTGCATCTACTTTGGCCTGTCCGCCTACCAGATCAGGCATGGCTACCCAAACTGGATCCTCGGCAACTGCCTGACCAAAAACTTCAGTCTCGTCAACCTCATCTTGTTCAAAGGGTGAGTGAGACATTTCAGATGCACCCGGCAGGGTCCCGCAGGGGACTCTTAGGACCCACCCAGGACAAATTCTGGGCCCACATCTGGGAGGACCGGGTCTCTCCAATCTGGCCACATGCCGAGGAGGGTCCCGGGACCCGCATGCGGCCTGAACCAGGGCAAGAGGGAACCGGCTGTGTTTATCTCTCTTGTTCACCCACATAACCTAGATACTTAGCATGAGGCTGGGTAGCGTGTAAGATTATTTGTTAAAAGGATGGAGAATACATGGGGTGGCTGGGATGGAGTGGGATGAGATGGGAGGACACAGGAAAGGATGGATGAGACAGTAGATGGCACTGAACGGATGGATGGGGTAGGGGAAAGGACAGGGATTAGACAGCATCACACAGACAAGTGCGATGGATGGATGGGCAGGACCACTAGGTGGACCAGCACCCTCCAGCTTCCCATGGTCTTCCCTGCTCCCAGGTTCCGCGTAGTACCTTTCCTCCTAGAGCTAAGGGCTGTCATAGACTGGATGTGGACTAACACTTCCCTCAGCCTGTCCAATTGGACTTGCCTGGAGGACCTGTACGCCAACATCTTCATCATGAAATGCCACCAGGAGTCTGAGAAGGTGGGCACGCAGCAAGTTTCCTGCTCTTAACCCTATCTGCCTGGAGCAATGAGGGTCCTGCCCTGCCCAGCAGGCAAGGTGCTCCCCTCACAGTATAGCCCTGGCCCAGCTTCACTTGGGATTCAGGAGTTTGTAGTTAAGTCCTCAAGGAAATGGCAGACCTTGTGCTAAGCTCTCCTACCATCACCTCATGAGTGCTCCACTCCTTGATGGAGCAGGTACCATTTTATTCCCATTTCACAGAGAGGCAGGCTGTTCAGAGTGCCTTTTTGCTCAAGGTGATGCAGCTGGGAAAATGTGGGGTCTGCACTTGGGTCCAACTCTCTCTGAGCCCAGCTCTGTGGACCACTGGACATTCCCTGAATTGACCACCTTCCCCCAGCTTTCAGGGGGATCATTCACCAACCTGCCTCCCTTGAGTCCGCATCTGCCTGCCCTGACCTGCCGCCCTCCACTCCTGCAGAAATACCCCCAGCCTCCTGGGCGGCCGCAGAAGAGGGCCGTGAAGTATGGGCTCGGAGGCATCGCCACATTTGCTTTGGTCTTCCTCATGTGGTTCCCCCTGGTTTTCATGTCCCTAGTGAAGACAGTGGGCGGCGTGACCAACCAGCCCCTGCAAGTGTCAGTCAAGATCGCCATCAACGGTTATGAGGTGTCTGGAGGGGAGGGAAGGTAGAGGGTGTCTGTGCTTGGATGGAGGAATGGGCTGGCACCTGCTTTCTTGTTCTCCAAGCTGTGGTCCTGGGTGTGGGTTCAGAGCTCAGACCCCAGCTCCCGAGCCTTCATCCTTGTTCTTTTTCCCCATGTGTACCCTTCCCGTCTCCTTCTCCTGCTGCTTTCACATGAGAAGAGATCTGAATCTCTTCCCCAAGTCTGACCTCTTGGCACCTTAGCTCATTGCACCTCATGTGCTTAATTCCGACACCCATCTCCCCAGGGAGGACAGAAGTTCTTTGAGCACAGCTTGGCGGTTTTGCCCCCATTTCAGTCACTAGCACGGCCAGCTTTCTGAAGCCCACCTACTCATCCTCCTCCTCTCTGCCAGACCCTGTTCTCCATGAGCGCTCAGCAGCACAACCTGGTCCCTTTCTCGGACGCAGACTACGACCGGCTGACCCAGCAATACGCTCTCCATCCCGTGAGTGTCTCACGAGTCCAGAGGAGCCCCCAGCCCCCCAGGCCCCACCCGTGCATTTCCTTCTCTCACATCCCAACCAGATATGGACACTTCATGATGCTCCAGCTATTAAAATGCAACAGACCTGGTGGGGGAAAGAGGAGGCAAATCAGCTCAACAAGCACACAGAGATGAACCCAAACGACAGATGACCCTAGAGGCGCGTTGCCTTCTGATACATGCTTCCCTTCTCCTTCTTCCCCCAGTCTGCCATGCAGTTTTTAGCGGACTACAGGCCCGAGGACATCGTTCTTGCCAAGATCAAAAGTCATGCCAGCCTGCTGTGGGGCGTCAGCCCCACCGACCGATCAGCCATGGTCCAGGAGCTGGCCAACACCACTGCCATCTGCATCACCACTTCCTGGGCTGTTCAGAGGTAACCTGGCACCACGCAAACCCAGAGCCCTGTCTTAATTCTCCTCCCCAGCTGTTTGTGAGATCTTGCACATAAACCTTAGGAAAGTAATAGTCGTAACAACTGACCTTGAATGAGGACCATCGAATGTCAGGCATGATGTCCATCCTTCTTTCCTGTCTCTCTGGCTTCTTTGCTCTTCTCTTTCAAAAAAAAAACCCCAACTTCTACTTTGAATTTATTCATCATTGGCCAGTCTTTCACTATGGTTAACTTTTAAGGGTTAATTTATTTCTGTTTTTAATTTTATACAAATACAATTGAGAAACACTGAGAAAAGTGGATGCATATATATACATATATACATGAGCATATACGATAAGCACAAAGTTTCATGAATTGTTACACCATGAATACATATGTGTGATCAGCACCCAGATCAAGAAATAGAACCTCGCTACCCCTTAGGACGCTCTCCTTGTGTTTCCCTCAGTTGTACCCTCTCCCAAGGGAAGCCACCATCCTAACTTCTAACAATACAGATTAGGTTTGCTTGGCAAAAAAAAAAAAAAAAAAAAAATCAGTTACTGTATTTTGCTTTTATTTTGTGATACAGAACACCAGAATTAAACAAAAACTATTTGTTTTATTTTTAATTATATGGTTAGAAAGACATTTTTTTTTTAACATTGTGTTTCCTTTTCCTTTTAGCAAGTTAGCATCTCTTTATTTTATTTGTTTTGGCTGCACAGTATGGCTTGTGGAACCTTAGTTTCTCAATCAGAGATGGAAGCAGTGCCCCTGCATTGGGAGCACAGAGTCTTAACCATTGGACCACCAGAACCCAAGAACATGGCTTTAAAATGGACTTTCTAAGGGACAAACAATATGTTACTTATCCCCTAAATATTTTGACATTGTGTTAATAGACTGTTTATTATTGTTTGGCTTTATGTTCTTTTTTGTGTTTCGTTGTAGGTTTTTTGAGGAAGGAATTTGGAACTTTTTGGGGTATAACAACATATAACAAGGCTGAACAACAATGTATATTCATGGCAACTGTTTCACTGAGGCAAAAATTACATACAGTAGATTCACAGATAAGAGTACAATTTGATGAGTTTTGAGTAACCAAATACCATGTCACCACCACCCCAGTCAGAAGATAGCATCTCTACTGGCCCAGAAAGTTCCCTCATGGTTCTTCTAGGCCATGCACGCTGCAAACACTTCTCTAGTTTCTATCACTGTTAAGTGAGTTTTCCCTGTTCATGAACTCCGTATACACATAATCATAGAATATGTGCTCATTTGTACAACATAATGCTTTTGAGATTCATCTATTTTGCTGCATGTATCAGCTGTTTATTCTTCTTTCACATGCTGAGTAATGCCTCCTTGTATGCATATATACAACAATCTAATTACTTATTCTTCTATTAGCAGACATTTGGGTTGTATCCACTTTTATAGACATATGTTCTCTTTTCTCCTGAGTAAATACTCAGGGGAGGGGAGTTGTTTTATGATGGGATGGGCTTAACCTTTAAAAACTTAGAACAGTTTCCAAAAAGAGTAGACCATCTTATACTCCCACCAGCAATGCAAGTGAGTTCTCATTGCTCCACATCCTTACCAACCACAGAGCGCATCAAGCTTTTGAATCTGACCCTTCTGACAAATGTAAGTGATAGCTTATTGTGCTTTCCATTTGTTTCCCTGATGACTAACGATATTGAGTAATTTTACATGCTCTTATTGTCCATTTGTGTACCTTCTTTGTGTTTACTCAATCTTGTTCTTTTTGTTTGATTTTTGAATTGTAGAGAATTCTTTAAATATTCTGGATATAATCCCTTTGTCAGATACACGTATTTCAAATATTTTCTCTCCATCTGTGATTTGCCTTTCTGTATTCTCAGTGTGGAGTTTTGATGAAGAGAGGTTTTCGGTTTTGAGGTTCAATTTGTCAACATTTCCTTTTGTGGTTGTGCTTTTGTGAGTCCTTTCTAAGAAATCTTTGCTGGTCTCAAGTTCATGAAGATATTCTTATACTATGTATTCTGCCAGGAACTTAATAGTTCTAGTTTTTTGTGTCTAGATCTCCTGTCTAGCTCAAACTAATTTTAATGTGTAATGTAAAGTAAAGGATAAGGGTCATTTTTTTTTTCTGCACTTTTTCCTAGTTTTTCCAGCCCATTTGCTGAAAAGATGTTTCTTTCTCATTGAAGGTGCCATTGCCTTGATACCTTTGTAAAAAATCAATTGACTGAATATGGATAGATCTATCTCTGGATTTTTCATTATGATCCATTGATCTATTTCTCTGGGATGCCATCTTGATTACGGTAGCTTTTGACACACTTTGAAATCAGGGTGTGTGAGTTCTCCCACTAGGCTGTTTATTTTGAAAACTGTCTATTTTAGCTACTCTATATTTCTGTTTAAATCTTAGAAACAACTTGTCAGTTCTGAAAAAAAAAAGCCTTGTTGATATTTGGGTTGGAATTGTGTTGAAACTATAAACATTCATAGTTCAATCTGGAGAGAATTGGCTTTGTAACAATATTTAGTCTCCAAGCTATGAACATCATTTATTTATTCATTTAGCTCTTTAATTTCTCTTCATGTTACTTTCTACTTTCTATTCATTTATTTTTGGCAATGATTTTTTAAAAACATTTAATTTCAAATTGGCTTATAACCAATTAACAAACAATCTTGAGGTAGTTTCAGGTGACCAGTGAAGGGATTCAACCATACATAGACATGTACCCATTCTCCCCCAAACTCCCCTCCCATCCAGGCTGCCACATAACATCAAGCAGAGCTCCATGTGCTAGGCAGCAAGTCCTTGTTGGTTACGCATTTTAAATATAGCAGTGAACTTACTTGCAAAAACAGACTCACAGACTTAGAGAACAAACTTATGGTTGCCAGGGGGAAGGATGGGGGAAAGGGATAGTTAGGAAGTTTGGGATGAACACGTACATTCTACTTTTTAATATACAGATCTTGCACACCTTTAGTCATCTTTAAATATTTTATGTTTTTTATACTATTACAATGAAATTATTTAGAAATTAATTTCTATCTACTTGCTGCTAGAATTGATTTTACATATTGACTTTGTGTCCTATGATCTTATTAAAGGTATTTATGAGTCCCAGTAGTTATTTTCATATATTATTTAAAAATCTTCACATGAATAATCATTGACTCTTTGAGATCCCATGGACTATACAGTCCATGGAATTCTCCAGGCCAGAATACTGGAGTGGTAGCCCCTCCCTCTCCATGGGATCTTCCCAACCCAGGGATCGAACCCAGGTGTCCCACATTGCAGGCGGATTCTTTACCAGCTGAGCTGCAAGGGAAGCCCTAACATAAATAATCATGGCATCTGTAAGTTTAGGGAGTCTCGTTCTTCCTTTCCAATCTATGCGACTTTTTCTTTTCCTTGCTCTACTATACTAGCCAGGAATTTTAGTACAATAGTGAAGAAGAAAGGTGAAAGCAGACTTTCTTGCCTAGTTCGCAGTCTCAGGAGAAAAACCCTCAATGTTTCAGCAATAAATACGATGTTAACTAGCATTTTCACTTTTCTCTTCTCAGATTGAAAAGGTGCTCTTCTCATTCAAGTTTGCTGGCAGTTTTGGTCACAAATGGGCACTGAGTTTTGTCAGATCTTTTGAAATGATCATATTATTTTACCCATTTATTTTGTCAATATGGTCAATTATATTGGCTGATTCTTAAATGTTATACCATCTTTGCATTCCTTGGGAAAACTCTACTTAATTATGATGTATTATCATTTTATATATCACTGGATTTCATTTGTTAGTATTATATTAGGGATTTTTGCATCTGTTTCATGAGGAATACTGGTCTGTACTTTTTCTTTTTTTTAACAATGTTTCTGTCAGGTTTTGGTATCAGGCTTATGCTGACTTCCTAAGATTATTTGAGAAACATTTTCTTCTCAGTTTTTGGAAAGAGTTTGTGTAAGAGTTGTATTATTTCTTCTTCATGTGTTTAATAAAACCTCCCCCCTGCAGAAAAGCACTCTGGGCCTGGAAATTCTTTTCATGGAAACAATAACCAACTCAGTTGTGTTAATAGATATTGGACCATTCAGAGCATCTATTTCAAGCTGTATCAGTTTTGATAAGTTTCTTTTTCAAGGAATTTGTTCACTTCATGTATGTAGCTGAGTTTATTGGTGTAGAGTCTCATAAAATTTCCTTGTTTTCTGGTGTCTGTAGGATCTGTAACAATATCCCCTCTTTTATTTCTGATCCTGGTTATCTGTGAGTTTTCCTCTTTTCTCTCAGCTCTGTTAGGGATTTTAAAAGATTTATTGAGGTATAATGACATAATAAAATGATCAGATTTAAAGTATATGATTGGATGAGTGCTGACATTCATGTACATCTGTGAAATGAAAAGCACAATCATGGGTGGGAGGAATAGGGAGACCAGGATTGACGCATATACACTATTGATACTATGTATAAAATGGATAACTAATGAGAACCTACTGTATAGCACAGAGACCTCTGCATAGTGAAATATGGTGAATAGGAAGGAAATCCAAAAGGGGGAGGACACATGTTTATGTAAAGTTGATTCATTTTGCTCGTACAGTAGAAACTAGCACAATATTGTAAAGCAACTATTCTCCAATAAAAATCAACTTAAAAGACTCCCCCAATCAAGATAATGAGCACTTCCATTGCCCACAAAAGTCTACTCATGACTCAGCGCAACTCCTCTCTCCCTCCACTCCCATCTCCAGGCAACCATTGATTTGCTCTCTGTAACTAGGGATTAGTTTGCATTTTCTAGGAGTATCTATGTTTTCATACACAAGCTTGAAGAGTTCCTTCTGCATTTTGGAGAACAATCCTTCATCAAATATGCCTTTTGCATATATTTTCTCTGTCTGTGGCTTGACTTTTTAATTCTCTTGACGGTGTCTTTCACAGAGCAGAAATTTTTTAATTTTAATGACATAC